CAGAGACTGTGAGCTGAACCTCTTAACCCAGCCCACAAAGGCCTTCTTCAAATTTTGGAGGTGTGAACCTGTGTTCTATGTGTTCTTATGCACCTAGTCCAATGCTGTATACTTGTTTACTTTGTAATTGTTATAGTATTTGTACTTTTTTTTGTTTTATTTTTTGAGACAGGGTTTCTCTGTATAGTCTTGGTGCCTGTCCTGGATCTCGCACTGTAGACCAGGCTGGCCTCGAAATCACAGAGATCTGCCTGGCTCTGCCTCCCAAGTGCTGGGATTAAAGGCGTTCGCCACCACCCGCCTGGCTGTATTTGTACTTTTTTTTATGAAATATAGTGTAATTTGATACATGTGGACAGTATAGCAACCAAATCTGGGTAATCAGCATTTCTATCATCTCACATACTATCATTTATGTGTCAGGAACTCAGCTCTCTAGTTATTTTGGAAAGTATAATGAGTTTTACAATGATTCCATTCAAGAATATTAGAACTACTTCCCACCACTAATTTTATTTTCAAATCCATTACTAACCCTGTCTATCTGCCCCCCCTCTCCTGCCCCCACACCTTCCTAGTTTATAGTGATCTCTGTGCTACTCCATTTTTTTTTTTTTGTTTTTTGTTTTTTGTTTTTTGAGGCAGGGTTTCTCTGTGTAGTTTTGTGCCTTTCCTGGAACTCACTTTGTAGACCAGGCTGGCCTCGAACTCACAGAGATCCGCCTGCCTCTGCCTCCCGAGTACTGGGATTAAAGGCGTGCGCCACCACCGCCTGGCGCTACTCCATATTTTTATGTGGTCAACATAATTTGTTTCTGCTAGTGAGATGTGGTATTAAGTCTGTGTCTGGCTTATTTCACTGAACACAGTAACCTCCAGCAGGTCTATCCATGTCATCACATGGTAAGATTCCATCCTCCTTCCTTTTTTTTTTTTTTAAAGATCTTTCTATGTAGCCCTGGCTGTCCTGAACATCACTATATCGACCAGGCTGGCCTTGAAATCGAGTGCTCCTCCTAACTCTGCCTCCTAGTGATGATATTAAAGGCATGTACCACACCCATCATTTCCATTCTTTTTATGTGCATGCTTTTACATCATCTTAAAAGGAGCAGTCAAATCCTGTTGGTAGGTTTGTTGGAAGCTTATCTTGGGTTAACCTGCTCCTCCATCCTACCTACCCTGTAAAAATGTGAATCTGACAGGTACCACCTGCTGCTTGTCTCCATTTTTCTAATCTGACGGCATGGATAACAATTCCTCAGAGTAAGTTGGCTTTTTCTGGTGCCAAGGCTTCTGCACTGTTGAAGCAGCTGAAGAGTTACTCCCTCCTCACCCCTGCACGCCCTCACATGTACAGCTCTGCTGATGGGCAGCATGTAGCCATCCTGGCTCAGGACCACATTTTGGATGTTACTTTCCTCAAAAACAGCACCAAACTTCTAGAAAGGAGGAAATATTTGCTCTCAAGGTTCCCTTGGGGTCCAATCTACTAATTGGATCTAGAGTTCAATTTGTTCTCTAATAACATAGCAGGATCTGGGAGCATCATATATAGCTGTATTTTAATCCTCAAGTATTAAGCTGAATACTGACAGTATTAATTTTCTTTTACCATAGACAGTAGTGCTAAGTCTTAATTTTCTTTTACCATAGACAGTAGTGCTAACTGAAAGTCAATATCCCAAGTAGGACTAGAAGTTCAAGGTCAACCTGGGCAACTCAGTGAAACTGTCTCAAAATAAAAAGTAAAGATGGGGCTGGGGTAAGGAGAGTTGCCTAGCGTGTGTGAGGTCCCATCCCCAGAATCAACAACACAGAAGTCAATAGCTCAGGGTGTAGATTCCCACAACCACATATTTTGGATTCTAAGGACCGTGTGTGAAAAGCTTTGTCCCAGCCTGTGGTGTCATTGGGGGTTTAGAGGCAGGGCCTAACCAGCTCCAGCCTCTTACCTCATCCCACTTTCACTTTCAAACCACCATGAGGTGAACAGGTTTCTGCCACATGCTCCTTTCAGAAGCCCAAAGGCAATAGAGCCAACCGTGACAGACATGACAGACGTGACAGAAGCCCCAAGACCATGAACCTCAAATACCTGTCGTCCTTTTAAATTTCCTCAGGTATACTGAATACCGGCCAACACAGAATTTAAAAGTCAAGCGGAATAAAAAGTAGAAAAAAATTTAAAGCATAACAGTTATGAACAAAGTATAGTACTTTTATTAGAATTCAAAATTAGTGCTGTCAGCCGGGCGGTGGTGGCGCACGCCTTTAATCCCAGCACTCGGGAGGCAGAGCCAGGCGGATCTCTGTGAGTTCGAGGCCAGCCTGGACTACCAAGTGAGTCCCAGGAAAGGCGCAAAGCTACACAGAGAAACCCTGTCTCGAAAAACCAAAAAAAAAAAAAAAAAAAAAAATTAGTGCTGTCATTAGCCTTCAGGATGAAAGGTCATGTCCTTCTACTTTAGCACTCTTAAGACTGTCATTTGGTTGGGCAGGGTGGCACACACCTGCAGTCCCCTGCTACTCAGGAGTCTAAGGCATGGGGACTGCTTGAGCCTCGGAGTTCCAGGCCCACCTGTGGGAGGCGAGAAATGAACTCCAGGCTGCTGAGTATTGACCCAGGGCCCTCCCGAAGCTATCCGTGTCTGTCTTTTTCTTCATCTATATTTCTATCTAGCATTCCTCAATCCCTCACTCCCCGCTTCAAGGCACCCTTCGATAGGTTGGGGTTGAACCTTAACACCAACCTAAGTAACAGAAAAATCCCACTCTTAAATGATAAAAAAGAAAACGGACATTTTACTCTTAACTCTTCCATAAGGTCATGTATTTTCCTTGAGGTACACAAAATTCAAAAGGAAATTTCACCCTTCTCTGTTAAACATCTTAAGAATGCCAGAAATCTTTCCAGATGACTTTCCTAAATGGTTCCAAGAACCCCAAACCTATTCTCAAAGCAATGGCACTAGGCTATTTATATGCTAGATACCACACATCCTTCTCACACTGCCAAACACATGCCAGAAAACTCTTAAGTCCCCAGCAAGCTGTTCTCAGAGGATTTAATCTGATGTGTTCAATAATCAACACATTTTAAAGTGAGTGCCAATTTCCAAACAGTGTGTGGCACTAATTTTAGCTTTTATATAAGCTTCTTCCAAACTTGAAATGTTTATTTCCTAACTATAACTTGATCTCCCTTTGCAATTTACGTATGGATACACATAAGGAAATGACAAATCCCTGTCATTGTTTCTTGTTTGTATGTTAGAGACAATTCACCACACAGCCCAGGGACTTCCCTGGGACGTCAGGCATGCTCACCACACCTGGCCGTCTTGTGAGTCGACATCTTGCACTACTCTGCTTCACAATTTACCAAGTATTCCCTCTCAACAAACGTCTTTGCTGTGCTTCTAACAGAGGGCTTTCTGGTCATGGTTTCCGTTTTTGTTTTCACTCTTCCTTTGACCATTTACGACTCTGCAAGGGTGGCAGGGTAAGAACTGCCCCATCTAAACAGGACGCTATTAATCCAAACCTGACCCGACTTCTTCAAGTCACGGACCTTTAAAGATGGGACTGAAAGTCACCTACCACATTGGGTTACTCATACTGAATGAAAATAATTCATGTTAAAAGGACTTCACTCATTTTTTAAAAACCAGGACCATATTTACATATAGCAGATATTAAAATACTTAAATACTGTTAGAAAACAACTTTTCTTCTGAGCATCTTGAGAAGCACCCCTCACTTCAATTCCGTTTCTTCTGCCCACATCTCTAATGGCGTCAAGAGATAACAAGCACAGGATCTGCTTGTAATGCCACAGTCAGCTTCTGTCCTAACCGATTAGTGCCTGTGCTTTACCAGTGGACAGATTTTTGGTAACCCGTCTTTTAAAGAAGATCCTGCGGTATAGCTAGATGATTCCTGACTCAAGTTCAGTATCTGTAATATCAAAACTTATCTTCATGTAATAGTGCTGGCCCATTATCTATCAACAGAATGAGAGGTGCACATGGAAAAGCCTTACTTTATGTTAAAATCTCACTACTTCATTGTGAATACTTAATGTATTAGAACCTTTTGAATAAAAGTTACCTAAGAGGATGGCTAAGAAGAGGGACTCAGGGAGGATACATTCAGATCACAGAGAACCTGGAAGCCCATCTCAAGGGCTAAGAGAAAAGGCAACCTTACCTTAGAAAGTTAACTCTTATTCAATATATATAAAGAACAGTGTAATAAAAAACCAAGTAGGTCATTACCATGTACATAAACGGGCTGTCAAAACATAAGAGTAAAGTTGTACACATTTTATGCATTTATTCATTCTTTCACTTTGTACACATATACTGAATGTCTTTAAAATTTTTACTTGAATAAATCTATTGTAATCATAAAAATATTTCAAGAATGATTGTTCTGAAAGAAGTGACAGCCTCACTGTATTGTAAGAATCATCATCAAAGGTAAGCATTTGAAAATGAAAATAACCCTGTAAAATCAATACAGGTTAAATACCAAAATAGCCAAAATGCAGCAGTATTACATGAGTATTCTAAGTGTTTATAGAGCACATCCATTTCTTCCCTGTTGTAAGTTTACAAAAAACTGTTGAGTGCTACAATCCCACCATTTCAGGAGGCCGCACTGAAAATGAGCCCTTCCACATAGACTAACTGGTTCTGGAGCGGACTCATACTTACAAACCACAAAATACCATAATCACATGACAAACTCAAAGAATATAATTGTTTACCTTTCAGCTGCTGCTATTGTGTATAACACACCATAAGTAATCACGGGTGTTTTCATACACCGACTGTCCTCACTCTGAAATGTCCGAGGTGAATACATCTGAGCGCGTTACTCTTCTATAAAGGAAAAGCCAGCATTTCCTATTTAAACGTTTTTATTTCTGTGTTAAAGACAGAACTCCTAGAGGCCAAATAAGGAAAACAGACCAAACTCAAAACATTATTAAATCATATATAATCCACTTTATTACCACCAATCATCACATCTCTAGCAAGATCAATTTTATTCAAGTCTCAAGTTCTAAACAATTAACAACCCATTCTGTAAAACAGAATGAAAAACTATGACCAAAAGAAGACAACCAAACGTTTAACACATTATTAAAATGAACGGTCTTCTGTTAAGAGCCGTAACATGTCCGTCAGTAGTAACTATATGGAGGCCGCTGGTTGTGACCATATTGTCCGTATTGTTGTTGATAGTAAGGCTCTTGTCTCTGCGGTGGGTAATTGTTTCCCCATGACCGTCCATGCCACTGATTTGATCGATTGTCACTTGGCCATCCTCGTCTGTTATCCCTACCTCTAAACTGTCTGTTATCTTGCAGCCTACCAAAAGAAAACAAAAATATTAACTTCTCTTTAAAAAAATAAAAACCCAAGAAACCAATCCCAGGGCATTTGCGTGCTCCATGTAGCACACAGTACTTGAGAGTGGAAAACCTAGCTCTCTGTGGACGTCACAGCACTAGCCATACTCCCCCAAGACTGAATTCCTTCTTCCAGCACACACTGGACACCTTTTACTGGACAGAGGCAGGTAATAAGTCCAGTTGTGATCACCTGACACCTTCCAAAATGCACAAAAACAGTCTGACTTCTTCATAGTTTTGAATTATTACATTTAATTTTCCATTTCATTTTATAAAATTTCTAAGGTAATCAAAAACAATACCTTCTTTAAGAAATCAAGTACAAAACTCTAGTTTTATTAAGTATATCTGTAAAGAAAATATTAGTTTGAGACAGGGTCTCACTGGATAGCCCAGGCTAGCCTAGAACCTCATGAACCTATGGCCTCAGCCTCCTAAGTACTGAAAGTATGGCTTGCATCACTATGCCTGGCTTAAACAAGACTCATAAAAGCAAGTATTTACAGTGCTTATTATGTTCCAGGCACTGTCCCAGGGCTGTGGGTGAACCATACTGAAAACACAGGTTGGCCCTGGCTTTAGGGGCAAGCATATTAAAGCTATCTTTCCCCAGATAACCCTCTGTATTATCTTCCAGAAATAACACATACCAGTTGCCTCGATTTCTTTGGTTACCACCGGCTCTGCTATTCCATTCCTCAACAATTGGGGGAGATTCAGGAGGACGTTTCAAGTATTCTTGGTACTCTTTGTCATCTTGTGTGAATCTGCTTGCAAACATCTCTTCAAAATCTGGAATCACTTCAGAAGTATCACTCATCGTGAAATTCTGTACAGTTTTAGGATCTGTAAGAATTTTTAAAAAAATTAGTACTAATTTATCAGCTTATGAAAACCCAAAAAGTAAACGATTTTGGACAGAGTATTAACAAAAGTCCCTAAGTATTTTTAAACTTACGACTGTAACAGTTCTTGACTACATTGTGCTACTGGAGCCTGCAATACTAAGATGAACAATATATCATGGGCCATATCCCCAAAGAGTCCCCAGTCTAGAAGAGGCAGATATGGTGGCTGGGGAGGATATCTCAATTTGTAACATACTTGCCCTGCAAGAATGTGGACCTGAGTCTGCTCTCCAGCACCTACCTAAAAAGCCAGGCCTAGTGGAACAGGCCCACAATCCCAGTGCTGGGGAAGTGGAGACAGGCAGACCCTGGAGCTTGCTGGCTCGCCATCCTAGCTAATCGGCAAGCCCCAGGTTCCAGTGAAAGACCTAGTTCAAACATCAAGGTAGACAGCTTCTGAAGAATGACCCTGGAGTGGACATCTGGCTTCCACATGCACCCTACACATACACACAATAAAAAGTATGAAGAAGATGGGTATGATGTAAACATTGAGAGGCAGAAGACATCAAGAAATAAAACTAGAGAGTAAACAAGGGACAAATTGTGGGAAATGTTGTATCCAACACAAATACTTTTGTATCTTCTTTCTGGGAGGCAATGGGAAGTATGGGTGACTTAAGAGGGGAAGTCTGAAGATCTAATCTACCTTTATGTGTGGCGATACACATCTGTAACAGGAGGCAGAGGCAGGAGGAACTGCAGGCCAACCTGGTCTACAGTTAATTCCAAGCAAGCAAGGGCTATATAGTGGAATCCCATCTCAACAAAAATAAAAACAAGGTCCAATTTAGTATTTTGAAGGACTCCTTTTGTAACTGGGTAGGGACTAATGAAACTAAACTAAAGCAGATTGCTGTAATAATGTAGATAACATGCTGAAAAGTTAATGTGAGGTAAGGGCTGAGAAAACAATTTTAAAAGAACTCCAGGAAGAAACAGTCACTAATTAGATATGGGAGGAGTAATAAGGGATGAATCTCAGGCTTCCTACCAAATGATTAGACACATTTATAGTGCCACCAAAACTATGAGAAAGGTGGGTAAGGTTACCCTGAATTTAAAGTGAGCAATGAACCAGGTGGTGGTGGCCCACGCCTTTAATCTCAGCACTGGGGAAGCAGAGGTAGTAGGATCTCTGAGTTCAAGGTCAGTCTGGTCTACAGGACAGTCAGGGATACTCAGAGAAACCCTGTCTTGAAAAACCAAGGACTTGAGCATTCCTTGGGTATATGCCCAAGAGTGGTATAGCTGGGTCTTGAGGAAGATTGATTCCAAATTTTCTTAGAAACCGCCATACTGATTTCCAAAGTGGCTGTATAAGTTTGCATTCCCACCAACAGTGGAGGAGTGTTCCCCTTGCTTCATATCCTCTCCAACATAAGCTGTCTTCAGTGTTTTTGATCTTAGCCATTCTGACAGGTGTAAGATGGTATCTCAGAGTCATTTTGATTTACATTTCCCACACCACAAGGACACATGCTCAACTACGTTCATAAAAGCATTATTCGTAATAGCCAGAACCTGGAAACAACCTAGATGCCCCTCAACCAAAGAATGGATTAAGAAAATGTGGTACATATACACAATGGAGTACTACTCAGCAGTAAAAAAACAATATCAGGAAATCTGCAGGCAAATGGATGGAACTAGAAAATATCCTGCGTGAGGTAGCCCAGATTCAGAAGGACAAACATGGCATGTACTCATAAGTGGATACCAGATGTAAAGCAAAGGATAACCAGAGTACAACCCACAGCTCCAGAGAAGCTAACTAACAAGGAAGACCCAAAGAGGGACGCATGGATCTCAATGGGAAGGGAAAATAGATGAGATCTCTATGAGTAAACTAGGGATGAGGGGTGGGCAATGGAGGGTAGGGGATGGGGGAAGAGAACATAAGGGAATGGGATGGTTGAGCTGGAACAGGGATAGAGTGGGAGAGCAATGAAAGAGATACCTTGATAGAGGGAGACATCATGGGGATAGGGAGAAACCAGGTGCTAGGAAAGTTCCCAAGAATCCACAAGGATGACCTCAGCTTAGACTACTAGCAATAGTGGAGAGGGTGCCTGAACTGGCTTACCTCAGTAATCAGACCAGTGAGTACCCTAACTGCCATCATAGAGCCTTTCTCCAGTAACTGATGGAGGTAGATGCAGAGATCCACAACCAAACACCAGGCTCAGCTCAGGAAGTCCAGTCAAAGAGAGAGAAGAGGGGTTCTACGAGCAAGGGGCATCAAGATCATGATGGAGAAATCTACAGAGACAACCAAACAAAACTAGTGGGAACTCATGAAATTTAGATCAATAGCTGTGGAGCCTGCATGGGACTGGACTAGGCCCTCTGCATAAGGAGGCAGCTGTGTAGCTTGATCTGCTTAAGGGGCCCCTTGGCAGTAGAATCAGGATCCATCCCTGGTGTATGAGCAGGCTTTTTGGAGCCCACTACCTATGGTGGGATACCTTGCACAGCCTTGAGGCAGGGGGAGGGGCTTGGACCTGCCTCTACTAAATATACCTCCCCATGGGAGGCCTTACCTTCTTGTAGGAGGGAATGGGGGATAGGTTGGGAGGGAGAGGCTGGAGGGGCGGGAGGAGGGAAGAGGAGGATCTTTGATTGGTATGTAAAATGAACAAAAAAATTTAATTAAAAAAAGAAAAACCAGCCAGGCGGTGGTGGCGCACGCCTTTAATCCCAGCACTCGGGAGGCAGAGCCAGGCGGATCTCTGTGAGTTCGAGGCCAGCCTGGGCTACCAAGTGAGTTCCAGGAAAGGCGCAAAGCTACACAGAAAAACCCTGTCTCGAAAAACCAAAAAAAAAAAAAAGAAAGAAAACCCAAGGACTTGTCTTTAAAAAAAAAAAAGAAACAAAACAACAACAAAAACACCCCAGCAACCTGCCCACCACCACGACCACCACAACCACCACAACCACCACCACACACACAGAGGGGGGGAAAGGGAAAAGCTGGGTACAGTGATGTATACCTGTAGCCTCAGCATTTCAGATACTGAAGCAGAATTGTTTGAACCCAGGAGTTTTAAGCCAACCCAAGCAACATATATAAAAACAGACATTTAGGTGCACAGTTATTAAAGTTTGGGTAACCATTTTATAATCTTACGCAATTTACTCCTATTCCAGATCCTGTGAGAAATGAAAAAAAAACAAAAAACAAAAACAAAAAACAAGACAAAACACCTGACACTAATAAGTAAGATACTGTCTAATAGATATAAACAGTATAATCTGGGCTGGCAAAATGGCTCAGTTGGTAAAGAGGCTTGGGGCCAAGTCTAAAGACCTGAGTTCAATGCCCAAGTCCCATATGGTAGAAGCAGAAAACAGACTCCCACAAGTGGTCCTCTGATCTCCACATGTGTGCCATGACATACAGACCCACACACAAATGTAGTATAAAAATTAAAAACATGACTCTCTTAACAGCTGAGTTATCCATATAATATATGGATACTTAAAAAAAATATTTCTTCAACCCTCTGCCTACAGGGAAAGATTTGACTTAACTTGCAGGTCTAATCCTCAAGGAATAGTCTTCAGCAAGACCTTGAAACTGCAGAATTCTATAAGTAGTCCCCACTTCCCAGTCCTCCTTGATCAGGTACTGTTCAGCTTCTCTATCTCATAGCTTTCCTAATCCAAACTTCGTGTTTTTACTGATTGCCTCAAAACTTCTAAACCAAAACTTCTTGGTAGACCTAGCACTCCTGAGGCTGAGGCAGGAGGATCAACTGAGCCTACATATACAAGACCAGCCTTGGCAAAGAAAAAGGAACCAAACCTATTTTATGATTTGAGGCATACTTAACATCATGCTAAAAGCTTAAAACCAAATCTTCGGGCGGTGGTGGCGCACGCCTTTAATCCCAGCACTCGGGAGGCAGAGCCAGGCGGATCTCTGTGAGTTCGAGGCCAGCCTGGGCTACCAAGTGAGTTCCAGGACAGGCGCAAAGCTACACAGAGAAACCCTGTCTCGAAAAACCAAAAAAAAAAAATCTTTCCCCTGGTATCCTCAATTTTTTTTTTCCTGTACTAATTAAACTTCTACTAAGGCTTTTCATAAGTTGTTTAACTAGAAGATAGCGTCTTCTTTGCTTTGTTTTTTCTCAAAACATGCAAGCATTCATAACATAATACTACCCTTATTCCAACAAAATTAAACTAAAATTGTTACTAAAATACAAGAAACAATATCTGGATATTCTACCTTTCCAGCTACTACTGAGATTATGTCTTATTAATTATACCTCCATGTGCCCAGCTGGTATTGGCAAACTAATGTCAAATACCAAAACCAAATGAGTTTAAAATAAATCCAACTAGGCCAGGTGTAGCGGTACATGCATCCCAGTATTTGGGAGGTAGTCTGGCAGATCTCTGAGTTCAAGGCCAGCCTGGTCTATAGAGTGAGTTCCAGGGCAGCCAGGACTTCATAGAGAGACCTTGTCTCAAAAAGAAAAGGGAGAAAAAAAAAGCCAACAACAAAAACTCCCAACTAATTAAAAGTGTCCATGTTTCCATACTAACCACAGAAGCCACTATAGAGACTGAAAGACATCCCATTCCTAATTAAGACAGACAGTAAATTCATAAGGCAAGGAAAATGCACTACATTTTCCCCATACCCTACCTACCACAATCAACAAGTATCTTGTTTATTTACTCATGAGAGTGGAATTTAAACAAACTCTTAATGCAAGCTTTACTTAACCCAAGGATTTGAGGCAACTATACTGTTTAATATTTAGGTTGATTAAATACGGGGACAACACCAATAAACAAGCTATCACGCAAGGGGAAAACTCAAGAGGTCTCAACAAAGAACTGCAAGCAACTAAGGAATGCTAAGAGCAAGAGAAATAGTCTTCCCAAGAACAGAGCACACAAACCGGTTATTCAATACCATATAGGATCCCTGAAAACATATACATACAAGTAACATTATACAAACTAAGCAATATATATATATATATATATATATATACACACACACATATATATACCATATAACACACATATATTAAACACATATATAAAACAACTAAAGAAGACATGAATTTGAAAGAAAGCAAGCAGGATATATGGGAGAGCTTAGGAGGAGGAAAAGGAAAAATGTAGTAGTAATTTCAAAAAATATAGATAATATGGCTTCAGGAGTTTTAAAGGAACCTCAAAAGATGGGAGAAGGGGTGGAGAGCTAGCTCAGTAATCAAGAGCACTCACTATTCTTCCAAAGGACCATAGCTCATAAGTGCCTGTAATTCTAGATCCAGGGGATCCGACGCCCCCTTCTGACCTCTGTGAGCATCAACTCACTCTCTCTGTCTCTGTCTCTCTGTCTCTGTCTCTCTCTCTCTCCTCTCAAAAAAGACGTGGGGCAGAGAGGATGAGTACATACACGACTCGGTTTGAGGGCACTGGATTCAAAGGACTCTTCAGAATCTCAGCCCTAACAATTCAAAGGGGAAACTCGCTCTTCCACTGAAGAGCTACAAGAGGCCACGAGCCTCCTCGTCTGGGTCTTCAAAACCAACACGCTAGTTCAAGCATCGGTAACTAGTTACTACAGGACGCACGTTCTCGGTGGTTGTGGCTGCCGCGGAATGAAAGGCTACACCTTCCACTGCCCTTGAACCCCACTAATTTCTTCTCCACAAGTAAAACCCCACAGAGCTCTGGCTGAGGCACCCTGGTCACGGCTAACAGAAAGGGCTTCGGGGGCTCTCCAAAGGTGAGCCCGGAGGACAGATGAGGATAACGGACTGAAGAGTGCGTTTCCCTGACCTCGGCCCATCGGACACGTGCCTTACAACGGCTTCGACACAGCGGCTCCTTCCAGAAGCCCCGTAAAGAGCAGACCCGAGGGGAAAGCGGCTCGGAGGAGGAGCGACTTCGGGGCTCCACCGCCTCCAGACCGCGGGGCCCCCGGCTCCAGCCTCCCCGTTCCCTCCGCCGCCCCGACCGGAAGACTCATCCGCCCAGGGCTGTGCTCACCCTTCCGCGGGCCGCCCTGGAGGGACTTGGAATGGCCACACAGCAGCACCCAAAGCAGCTCTCCAAGGTAACCAAACGCGTAGGAATCCTTCACTACTCCACTTCCGCTTCCGGAGCGCCAAGAAACCGAAGCCGCCTACAAATCTCGCGATATCCATAGAGTGCATCGCCTTTCCCCGCCCCCTTCCTGCCACACCCCTCGCGTTCGAACTGCGGCGCGGCCCGAGGGGAAGCTACCCAGGTTCGAACCACTTGGCGAAGGTGGGCGGTGCTGTCTCTTTGCTGCCCTGACTTGCACGCCTGTTTTACGGAAGGGTGAAAGTCGTCGCCATCTAGTAAAGTCCCCTGGTCTGGCAGTCGTCGGCGCACTGGGACTGAAAGTCCGCGAACAGGACCGGAAGCGGAGCCGGGGCGGCGGGGTGAGGAGCAGACTACGGCACCGGCACCGCGTGAGCGAGGCCGACCCGGTCCTGAGCAAACCTCGGCAGTCAGGTTCCTGCGGGCCGCTCTTTATGTTTTTGCAGAAACGCGTCCACTTCTCCACTGCCTGTGGTCCGATCCCTCCCCAAGGCTTGGCGATTTCTTCTCCAGAGTTTGCAAGTGCGGAAACGCTGATCATCCCAGCTGTAACTTGACCTTTTTCTCAAATCGCTTCCCGGACAGTCCACTTTTCTTGGGAATACAATCAACTTTAGAAGTTCGGTGTCCGCCGGGCGGGCGGTGGTGGCGCACGCCTTTAATCCCAGCACTCGGGAGGCAGAGGCAGGCGAATCTCCGTGAGTTCGAGACCAGCCTGGTCTACAGCGCGAGATCCAGGAAAGGCGCAAAGCTACACAGAGAAACCCTGTCTCGAAAAACCAAAAAAAAAGAAAGAAAAGGAAAGTTTGGCGTCTAAATTGGATACCGTTTCTTTCCACTCCTCAGTCAGATGCCATATGTTGTTTGTCCCTGCAGTGACTGGCGTCCATCCACTCCCAGACCCATTGCCTCCACCTCGTCAAAGTTCTCATCGCCCCCGGAACAGTGTGAATGCAGCATTTTTCTTGTTGATGCCCTTCTTCCTAAAGCACCCCCCACCAGCATATTTTAGGCATAACTGCCATAGGCGTAGTCATTCAAGCACAGCTGGAATACAAGATACTCAACAGCCCCTTGCTGCCTAGGCCCAGAATATTAATTTGGTTTCAAAATTCTGTTTTATGATATTTCTCTTTCATTCTCTCGCCTGTGGTAAACCAGACCATCTGCAGTACTTCATGAATTACTCATTCATGAAGTTACATTTCTTTAGATTGCCAGTGTCCCCTTGTGCTTGGATGCTTACCATTCCTCTACAAATAGAAGACACACACATCCCACCTCCAGATGTTGACAAGTTATATCCATTCTCTAAGATTTTACAGTGTGACATCACCATCTGGAAATAAGTTCTACCTCTGCTGGGTTCCACGGTGCTTTCTGAACTTTATGTTGTTGCCACTTTCTGACTTTAGGCTACAGTTTTAAATTTATTTGTACATCTTACAGTATATAACATTGTGCTTCTCATAAAGTAAGCACTCAGTCCATACTTGTGGAATGAAAAGTGGAACTGAATAGTTCAGGCCATAGTTTAGAAACAACAATTTAACAAAACTAGGATAGTATTGATGGGGGGCGGTGAAAGTCTTGGTATCAAGTAGAAACAGAGAGATCTCGATCAAGGTTACAGAAATGGAATATCCACACTGACTGAGTAGGTGACCCAAGAAAAACAGTAGGGAACAGTGAAAATCCCGCCTCTTTGAGCCTGGGAAGTTGGCACTGAAAAGGAACTTCAGTTTCATTTAATTGAAGTGTAAAAGTAGTTTAAGAGCACAAATTTACGTGTGATGATACCCTGTGTGATACCAGCTCTTGGAAGGTGGAGGAGAGATGGGGGTGAGTTAAGCTCATCCTCAGCTACATGAGACCCTATCTTTTTTTAAAAAAAAATATTTATTAGCCAGGCAGTGGTGGCATACGCCTTTAACCCCAGCACTTGGGAGGCCAGCCTGGTCTACAGGACAGTCAAGGCTACACAAAGAAACCCTGTCTCGAAAAACAAGTATGTGTCATCATTCTAGCAGCAGAAATATTCTGGGAACCAAGGTTTGGAAACGGTCACTGTCCAAAGTATCCTGCCGAGGACAGAGCAGACAGGACTCGGGCGCAGGTCAGGTCCCTGCAATCTCAACAGTTTTGCTATTAAACCCTTTCTCCTTTTTATGTCCGGGATCTTTTCTGAATGCTGTATCTCATCAAATCAAGGATGTTACCTCTTGTAAGGCACAGTTATATCAAGATGCATAGCACTGACTATTAATGTTTTTATAATACAGATACAACATTAATTGAAGGTATATCATCACAGTTTCAGGTATCCTAAAATGTTTACATGCATTTATACACAAGTATACTCATGTATATGTATATGTACACATTTTCAATAAAATTCAGTAAACTACTAGCCTTGAGGCAAAGTCTTTAAATGTTATAAAATATAAATATTTCTTTGAATCCTTTAGAAGGTTAACTATGTCATAAAATAAAAAGAGATAAGTTTTAAATGTGAAAAATAGGTGCCTGCAAACATTTACTAGCACATACTCTCTTTTTTAAAAAATATCTCTCTTTGCTGGAAAGATGGCCCATTGCTTATTGCTCCTGCAGAGAAGCTGGATTCAGTTCCAGCACCTAAACCTAACAGTACCACTCCCTATGGGCCAAACTTTCAAACACATGAGTATATGGGAGCTATTCCTATCCAAACCACCACAACATACATATTAAGTAAAAAAATAAAATTTAAATTATTTCTTATCTGTGGAATGAAGCCATATTATAATAATCCATTAAAAGCAGAGCTTAGCTGAGCAGAGTGGCCCATGCATATAACCTCAGCATTTGGAAGATTGCCCCAAGTCTGAGGCCAACCTGACCTGGCCTGGACTACAGAGTGAGCTTTTTAGGCCAGTCTAGACTATAGAGCAAGACAGTTTTTAAAGGCACATTTAAAACATTTTTAATTATTTATGTGTCTTTGTGAGCCTGATGTGTGTACTGTGCATGTGCAGGAAACTTCGGGGCCAGGAGAGGGTGTTGGATCTCCTGGAATTGGAACTACAGGTGGTTGTGTGCACTCTTGTGAATGTTGGTAACAAAACCCAGTTCCTCAGAAAGAGTGCTAAGTATAAAGTATATTTTAAATATTCCCCCTTTAAAAATGCATCTTTTCCTCTCAAAGTTAAGGAAGGCAATAAGAAATTCTTATTCCACATTCTAGACCAATCTTCTCTTTTACTGGTAACAGCCATAAGTCTCTGTAGAACCAAAAAGATCATCCACATTTCATAAAAGCCCTCTCAATACAGCTTCTGTTTGAATGACCCACCAGACATGCTCCATTTTGAGGGTCTCTTTTCTCTCCCTCTAAAGTACCTGCGTTCTAAACCCTTAGTGTCTATCCCTTCATCAGTTACGTGGTCCATGGTCCACTATGGAAAAGAGAACTAACATCATTAACTCCGGTGTCATCCTCAAGTTCAACTGTCTCCTCCAAGTGGCATCTTTCATAAATCTCAAATATGAAATTTTACAGAGCCACGAATGCCCTTGTACCAAGCCACGACACCAAATTAGGTAGATATGTGGCTCACAATCACTAGCTGTGAATCTTTTGCAATCAGGATCAAAATACTCCATTGCCAGTTACCAGTGTCTACCTGGTATCCTCTTAAGGGCAGTGACATTTTCAGTCTGATTCAAAGTTTCAAATGCAAAGGCAAACCCTTGCCCACAGGGCCGTATGGTAAGTGGTGTGGCCACTACAGGCATAGGCACAAGCAGCCAAAACAACAATCCTGGTAAGTAAGCCCTCTTGTCTGCAGACTTCCCTTCCAGAAGTAAAGGTAAAACCTGTCCTGGCAGCCTTTCTTCTTTTTAAAAGTAATTTTTAAAATTCTGAGATTATGATTACATCCTTTCCTCCATTCCACGCCTCCCTCATGCTCTTTCACATTCATGTCGTCTTCTCCTTTTGTTGTTGTTACACGTGTGTCTGTGAATATTTATATATTCCTAAATGTATAAATACAACCTGTTGAGTCTGTGTAATGTTATTTATGTGTATGTTTTCAGGGCTGACCAGTTGGTATTGGATAGCCAGTTCGGTGTGCTCTTCCCGGAAATGACTGTTTCTCCTCTTCTTGGTGTTCCTTAGCCATCTGTAGCTCTTTGTCTAGGGTTGAAGCCTTGTGAGCTTTCTCCTTTCCCTGTTAGTATGCCTATTGGTGTCATCCTTGTTTGGGTCATGTTTAGCCAACCATGCTGACAAGATTTCATGGTTATAGTAGCCTCTTTGACATTTCTAAAGAGACACAATCTCACAGCAAATTCACTGATCCTAAAATTTTACAAATCCTGCCCCCTGATCCTCCATGATGTTCTCTGAGCCTTGGGTTGTTCTCAGGGGCTGTGTTGTAGATGTATCAGTTTGGACTGGACTCCACAACTCTGCATTTTGATTGGTTGTGGTTTTCTGAAATGGTCTCTGTTGCAGAGAAGTCTCTTTGATGTGAAGTGAGAACGAATTTATTTGTGGGTATAAGGATAAATATTTGGAATGTAGTTAGGGATTATGTTGGTTTTGTAAAGTGATGGTTGTAAGTTGTCCTCCAAGATCTGTGAATTCACTAGCCCTGTGGACTTGGCTAGGTTTCCAGTACCAAGCATGATCTCCCTCTTGTTGAGCTTAAGTCCAATTAGAGAACTATTCATTACCACCAAGGTATGTGTGCCACGATGGCACCCTTTGCCATGCTGGTAATTGTTGTGGTTCATAGGCATCAAGGTATAGGTCGCTTCCCTCCTTTGGAAGCTTGCATGGTCACTTCTGGTACCGTGAAAGCTAGTGTTCAAAGAGGAGGCTTTTAGGTCAGATC